CTCTGCCAGCGCAATTACTTGAAGTAGGTAAGAATGCATATTACTAGCAATCATTTTCTTCATGTTCCATTCTCAAGGATTGCGGTGCTGCATTGCCACCCGAATGCATCGTATATGATGTGGATCTGATCACCCACACATTGTCGTCACCTTTTTTCAAAGGAATCGTCTCGATGAGACATGAGCTCTTCCCGAGGCAGACGTCGAGGATGGATCATTTCTGTTATGTTTTGGGCACAGACTCTAGAAGAAACACCTGTCACCGCAAAATAAAAACGAGGCAACGGTTAATTTCCGGAAAAAGATCGAATTCCATAGCGTTCGAGCCCTTGCCTATTAAAATAATTTCAACTCCCAACGAAATATTCCCTGAATATTGAAATTTCAAACGTGAAAACTCGAAGCGGAGATGCAGTCTCTAAATTCCCATTCTTTCAAAATAAGGCCTGGAATGGACCTCCAATTAGCCCTATTGTATTTGCATGAAATCATATTGCTCGGGTATCAATAATCATGAAAATAAGGAATAAAGAAAATTCGGTTATTTGCTCGACGATCATCAATTCATCAATTCATCGTCCGTCAATTCATCGCAAGCCGTATTCATCGTCAACCATTTTCCACGGGCATAATAATGATGCAATAATTGGTCATTTTAAAATTAATGATTTATTATTTATTTTCTTTGGACAGAGGAAGTCATTGTTCAAACGTAGAATCGCCTCACACCTGCAGCTGGAAATTACGTGCCAGTGCCCTCACGTACTCAACAGGTTCTCGTGCGCCATGCTCTTGTACAATGGTTAAAAATTTGCACTCTTTTGGCCATGTCTCGATAGCCTTTTTTTCCATGACTATTTGAGTCTCCACGTTCCCTTTCTTGCAGCTGATGGTTTGTCAAATCTTCGTCCTTCTTAATTGCATCAATGAAATTGAAAATGGACGCACGACTGGCAGCCATCATTGAACTGAATGCCATCCCTCAACGGCACTGTTCGTTTTGGGCAGGCCATCTTCCACAGAGGAATATCAATTCCATATGTCGTGGGAGAACATTGGCTGCCTCCTTCCACCTCGACGACCCAATCGCCCTATCCATACTCGCTTTGTAAGGAACTTCTTGTGCAATAGTGGGAACGACGGATGAGACTGATTGGAAGAGTGAGATGACAGTTAAGGGTGAATGTCTCAATGAAGTAGCATTATTTTACCTGATTTCAGGAAAGTAGGGGAGATCGAAGGAGATATGAGTATTTTCTCCTATATTTGTTTTAAGGGTGAGGGGGACTGAAGGCGTGGAAAAATGACAGGGAAGTCTTTTTTGTAGAATTATCTCTTTTGCTAGCAAATCCGGATTAGGGGGATAATGGCGCAGGGGATAAGAAAACTCGTCCGCATGAATGGAAAGTCCGGGATAATGACATCCGGATCAACGAGAGTTGACTGTTCTTAGTGAAATTTTCATACTGAAACAAAAATTAGTTCTTTTATCATAGCATGGAAAAATGGTTTGCGACGAGTTTGGCCTGCGATGAGTTTGGCTTGCCTTGAATTGAGGGCGATGAGTTTGGCTTGCCTTGAATTGAGGGCGATGAGTTTGGCTTGCCTTGAATTGAGGGCGATGATTTTGGCTTGCCTTGAATTGAGGGCGATGAATTGGGCGCGATGAATTGACGTAGAATCTCGACGATCGACGGTAACCAAGGTCGTGTGAATGTCCAAGTCGGGTTCATTCCCATTGCATTGAGGAATAGTTTTTTTTACCCCTGAAATTTCGCAATAGAAAGATCCCCTCCTACTTGCTAAGGACGTCTATCGACCTAAAGCCTATTATCGTAAGAAGCGGCTGCAGTGCACACATGGCCATCTGCTTCGCCCTCATGGCCCCTCCGTCCCTTGCAAAGTACTTTTTTGATGCATTAAATTACTTCCTCGATTTTCCAATTTGTATTGCTCATGACTGCTCGCGTTCCTATTTGTTGCTCTCGTTTTAACGAAACTTAGGCTTCAATGCTCGCAAAACTAACGAGGGAAATCGCGCGTGAGGCCTCGGACCTTTCATTCGAAATAAGTTCCAGTACAGAATTCACTTCCCCGATGGAACTCTTGAAAATATGGAGAAACTCACGCAATGGTTTGCGTTTTCTATGGAGTTTCAGCGGGGCGAAGAAAAGCCGTTAACATGGATTTGCAAAGGATTCCGTGAAAAAAAAATGGATACACGCCTTCTTCGGCAAAATGTCCACCCTTGTGAGGATTCCTTGTGCGGATTTATTAATAATCCCTTTTTAGGCTCAGCGGTCTCCACTATGGCCAAACGCAAGCGCGAGTCGAAAGTCCCGTGGAGTCGTGCTCCTTCCTGACCCGACCCTGCCTTTGACCGTTCCTTATGATCGATCCTGCTGAAAGGAATGAGGCGTGGTGTTGGGAGGCGTTTAAAAAGATGCCGGTGCGAAAATTTAAACAGGTTCACATGTAATGGACGCGAAATAATTATCATGTTAGCAGGGGCTATTCCCGACTCGGATGAATACATGTTTCACTGAACAACCTCCGTGTCGGCCACCTGTCGGCTCCCGCAAACGATCGACCCCTTGTCCCCAAAGACCCGGCGACGAGACTCCTACCGCCTGAACACCGTGACGACAATTCGGCTCCAATGTTGAGAAAACGAAGGTAGCGACATCCTCCGAAAGCCAGTAAGAAGTTCAAGCGAGAGCCAAGTGGTCCTAGGAAAAAGGCCCTTGCACCGGAAACCATTTTCTTGGCGTGTAATTATATGCGCAATCTTTGGAAGTTCAAAACTAGCGCATTTTTGGGGCCTGCACTCGTGGAATACAACCCTATTCAAAAATATTTATGGAATTGTGCTGAAGGGATTATTTGTAAATCATTCCCTTACTCTCCTAAAACTTTCCAGAGGACGCCGTGTGAAATAAAAATTCCAAGGTTTTTGTTGCATGATCGTGATGCATCTCATGAAATGATTAATTAATTAGGCTCTGATGGCGCCTGTCACCTTTCTTTAACCCCTTTCCGTAACTAAATTCAACCTGCTCGAATTTTCCTCGCTGAGAGCGTCAACAGGAATGCAATTGGGCATGTTCCATCCTCTCTCGACACGGAATCCCTCCAGAAAATTAGAAGCTCCATGAGCTGGATCCGGTCCCTTCCCCCCAGTGTTGTCGGATTTCGCACTAGAGTTACCTCAGATTCATGACTGCTTCGGCCTTCGTATCAGTGTCCGGACCTTCAACTTTCTAACATAAGGCACTTTTGGGGCGAAGTACACGATAGGAGCATGAGACGGTGGATAGCTGTAAAGATCGATGTGGTGAGGCATGGCGATATTCAGACATCCGGCACAAACCGGATGGCGCCAGCATCAATTGGTGCGGGTGAGTTTGAAGAAACGGAAAGCCTTTCAAGAAAATGATTTCACATCACAGATTAAGAAGTACCTGTCGTACGAGGTATATCAAAGTAGGAAGAACGTAGCATATTAATTTCCCTAAAACCCTGAGCTTCTCTACCCCGAAACGATTACTTAATCATGGATTACACGTAATCTTAATCGATCTAGCACATTCAAGCCTTTCTTCCCGCTACTTCGATACCTCTCACGGAAATGGCCTCTGCCCTGTATTGAATGGCGCTCGGTTTTCATCAATCGCCCGCAAACGGTCGTCCTTCCCGTGGAAGGAATTCCCTAACATGTTTTCGTCGTACTATTGCGATTCGTGTGTATTGTGAATACGTAAGAGGGCTGACGTCTTTCTCGCCCGGTCGAACGCGTATAGACGTTTGGGGGAACAAATGATATGGTGCCATCTGTCGACTTTCGACGACTGTCGTTCGCATGGCGACCATGTTTTTCTTTTCAAGGTTCCAACATTCTGATTTCACATCCGTGGACTTCCTGCAATTGGTTGTGTTTTTTGACTTCAGAACGCCTGAAGAACTATGCTCGTTTACCGAAAATGTGGACCTCGGAGTTGCCACGTGTTTATTATTCAAAATGCGCCGCGAACGTTTTCAGTTATGAGATACTACAGGGTTTCCAGATTAAATTTGTCATCCACATCGAAGGCATTAAGGCAGAGGTAACTCGGACTTAAAGTATCGATTGCTTGCTACGTATGCACAATTACTGATCAATTTTCTTAGGCAACCAAGCGGTTGCCACGCAGAGCGTTGAGAGAATCGTCATCTAAACTCGTGAATGTCCAACGATGCTACATTCGTTGCCTAGGCTCCTGCGTAAAAATGTATGCATAGGTTGACCTCACATTCGTCGTATAATATATCCATCGAATTCTATCTATGAATATGAGATGGCGGGAAAAACAACAATTGTAATAACAGATAGAAGAAAGAGAAATGAAGAAACGGAGAACCAGCAGGAATTGAGACGTGAGGCAGAAGCCGAATCTCTACGTAGTTTTTATTATTAATATGAGCGCCAATCTGGGAGAGAGTTGGAAGGGCTGCTGACTAAACTAGTGAATTCCCGAAAATGCTACACGTTTAGCCTATGCCAGGAGTGTCGAACTTGATCAGCTGGGGGTTGGATGGAAGCCTTCAGGGTGGTTGGATCCAATATTAGCAAATTTTGCATCAAAGATTCAATTGCTAACGGGTTGAAAATGTCTATGCTTTTCAAAAGAAAATATTGGAGAAATTTGCCTGCTGGACCAGATTTACTAACAGTTGGCAGTTTGACACTTCTGGCTTAGACCCGACTTGAAGTTCGTGGAAGTCTTTCACGAGTCGACTAGCCACGGCATATCAGCAGTGGTCGACTTCTTTTTAGCGTTGCGCATCCATGCGCTGCCCAAAAGCCCGCCAATCGAAACTGGAGCAGGGGAGCATACCTTCGCCATTGGTCCGTAAGAGACGGGCTAAATTCGGTTTTTGGAGGCGGAGAGCTCCAATACACAGGCGAAACTTTGCACCTACACAGGACCATTGTGCAGTAATCAAGTTTCAAAGAAACGACAATGTGGAAGAAATTCTCTATCGCCTCGGTGGTCTATGACAGAAAAGCAAATATCCAGTTTGAGGACAATGGAGAAACGGTTGGTGTCGGTCCAGTCACCGTCAAATTCCTTCAGAGATTTTCAGGACACGTGAGTCGTCTTTGTTTACGTTTTAAAGGCACATAACCTAATTTACTACTGGTTCTCACAAAGGGATCCGCCTTAAAATCATCTTAGAAGATTGTACTTCACAAAACACATTGAAAGGTTATTAAATATGATATGTTATGTTTTTGCTCATGGAACATTATCCCAGCGTTGAGAAATGTTCCACGGTAAACCTTACTAGGGACATCAGAAATTAAAAATTCTCAACATCTGGAGTAACGGAATGCAACTTTCATGAAAGAGCTTTGAGTAATTGCCAATAGCGGATGTTGCACACAACCGATAATACGTGGGGTTCGAGATAATTATTTGATTCCTTACGTTTTGAAGATATCAACGCATGATGGGCAATTACAACTCGTCCAATTAAATTGCCATTCTTACACATTGAGGACGGGACCCATATAAAAACGGATTTTGCGCATGACGAAGAAACAAGTATCTTTTGACATCGGTTGGGGGTTTTCGAACCAATTGAACATATACTCTTGATTAGAAAGGTTTAGGCCAGAAAGCCTTATAATTTCAGACAAATCCATTTAGAACTTTTGGAGTTACGGCCTTTTTAGTGCTACAGCGTTTTTCCAGTTCTGTTTGCATAAAAGGTCGAGAACCAGGACTTTGTTAACACAATTCCGTCCCGTCCTCAATATCTTGAGAAGACGCGGACTGACCATTCGATGAAACGCTAAATAAACCTGATCATTCAGGGTCTGGGTCGTGCGGCGTATACGGACTCCTCTCGCTTCAGAAAGACCATCTGGCTGCTCGTCTTCATCATCGCCTCGGGGTACATGGTTCGTGGGATCGTCGGAGTTTTCACGGCGTTCCTGTCTGGTGTGATGACTACCTCGAATCAAGTACGTCACCCAGATTACTCTCAATTTTCCACTTGACAAGTTCACTTCCAGGGATTGAAATGAATGAAATTTCAGCATACCTACATTAAGGTGTTATACGACTTTCGAATGACATCTCTCAAAGAAATAAGAAACAAAAAAAACAAATCGTACATAGTAGCGAATTTGTTATTATCCGTGTATGTCAACAGATACTAATACGTTTTCCCTGTGAATCACAATATAGGTGGAGATGAAGGATAACCTCCTTTTTCCAGCCGTCAAGATTTGCCCCGATATATATTGGCCAACAAACGAATTTCCAAAACTCCCAATACATACGCGGAGTTTTAGTTTACTGCTTTCGTCGCTTAGAGAGCATTCAAGGTTGAATATCACATGCCAACAGGCAAAAGCAGATCTCCATCCTTTCTTCTACGAGGCTGATTGCATTATGGACGAGAATGGAGTGGAAAACTTCTGCATCAAACCATATGCAGGAGGCGAGTTTAAATTTTTTTCATTTATGAGAAAATACACATTGCCATACGATTGCGAAGTATAGATATCTTGCATGAGCATATTGCTCCTAAAGCTCTGTTATGAGAGGCACCGGGCGGGGAAAAATATATATTTAGATTCATACCTTCTGGAGTTAAGCTAAGAACCATTTTGTTTAATTTTGGTAAGGTCCTGATGGCATCGGCATACCATAGCTGCAATTAATTTAACACTACAATAATAAACCAGGTAAATAAATTTTCATCAGCTTCCCAAAATGTGAAAACCAATTGTGCAATTTTTTTTCCAAGCTGATTTTCCTACGACGTCGATCGTCGAAGAATATCGATTGCTTATGAGGGAGAATGTAACTCGCTAATACGATGAATATCCCTCGCCATCCGCCTGCTTCACCGTGACAGTATTTCTTACAAATATGAAACAACAATATTCCTCTGCAGGTAACTCGATGTCCATTGAAGAGGGGGCTCCGTTTTTCCAATTGCTGAAGCACAGGAGAGTTTGGGACAGCAGATTTTGGATGAATTCAAATGAAAACAATGGTTTCGGTGAGAATCAGAAAAGTCCGGATTTGGAAGCCGATTTCAAGAAAACCTTGCAGCACATACTCTACTGCAGCTTCAATAGGAAGACTTGCAGCTATTCGTAAGTGCATCTGACCGTTTCACCCGATTCACTCCATCTCCATGTATGGCCGCCCACATTTAATCCAAGTTGTACATTAAAGTGAAACTTTTATTTGAGACATTCCTACGTTAATAATAAACCCTCTCTTTTGGTAAAACAAAGTACAAAGTTACTGGAAATATCACGGAGGAAGTGTGTTTCTCTAGGAAGCAGGAAGCTTATGTAACCTGGGAAATTATAAGAAATTAGAGTTATGATTTTTCCAGCGACTTCAAGAGGGATGGAATTGGAAGCTGTCTCATTTTCAACGAAGATGGAATCAAGGCAGTCAAGCGCCGCTCGGAAAGACAAGGGACGTCATCAATCATCAGCGGCATGGGATCCTCTGTGAGAGCCTTTCGAGTCCTCTATAATTAAGAAGAAATGAACAGATTAGTGAAATCGACCTTTTCCCCCCTGAATTGTATTGCACAGGACGGACTTCAACTAATACTGACACCTCATGTCTGGAGCCAAAATAATCTCTATTTCGCGAACGGATTCCATCTGCAAATTCACTCTCCTGGAGCAGAATACGAATCTATATTTGGAAAGGAATATAAAGTAAACTTGGGAACGATTTCTCACGTCACCCCCAAGAAGGTGGTATTGCAGCGACTTCCTCCAGAAGAAGGTGGACATTGTGCTCCAGCTTCCTATCTCGAAAAGCGGTTTGACCTCAACATGTTCAATCTTAAAACCAAATATGAATATACCAACCAGGTGAGGAAGGCTCTTGTAGGTTGGGTCTCACAGTTCATTTAGAAACACTTGTCATGACATTTTCTTCATTTTTTCTCTTTGTTTCGTCAGCTGTGCCGGCTTATGTGCCTTGCAGATCGGACGAAAAATGACCCTCTCGGCCTATGTTGTGTCTCGGCTTTCGGTGGGCAAAATCTCGTCAGGATGAATAAAACGTGCGGATGTAAGAAATGTTATCATTCCTCCTGGTTTCAGCAAACTTCGACCCATTCGGCACAACGTTGTATCAACATTGATAATTGTTTGAAACATTGAGACTTACTTGAAGTTGAGAAGTCGACGAAAAATCAGCATCAATGAAATGCTAGCAATTCATAATTAACCATTTTTTCGGCATTTGGTGACTACTCGTGAATTAGGGATGTTGTTCAAAGGCTTTTAGGAGCAATTTTTCAAAATCGTATCTTCAAAATTGTGTTTACATGAAGTTATCCACATCATATCAACAGAAAATAGGTTCTAGAAATCGATGCGAGTTGGCGCCTAACCGCCCATTTGGCGATTCCTACCCTGATGCATTGATTTAAACAGTACCCTGCTTTTTCATGCAATAACCGATCTTTTCCCTCTTACAGCAACGATGAAGGTATAGGAACTGAGTCATTCCAGCTCAAGTGGTCAAATTTTAGCCACTCTTGTTAGGCTTCAGACTCCGATTTGCCAGCAAAAAAATTGTGTATGTTGACATCGAAGACATGAAAATACTTAAAATGTTTGCGCTCTGGCTCTAAAGGTATTCAAGATACCCAGCCCTAAAATTAACCCCGAAGAGGAAAAATGACCTTTGGGGTAAAAGCGCTATCTGTGGTTCCTGCCGAGCTAGAAAAACGTATTAGGACTCTTATTAAAGATAAGACAATGCAGGATCGCATTATCAAATTCATTTTCTACTGGATTCATTACCAACTGAGTTACACAAATTCCAAAATTCCACATATTGTCGAATTTTGCACGGAATTTTGGGCTGGGATGCGTGATAGCACAACGAGTTTTTGTAGCATTGTAGACTAAAGCAATTTCAATTCAAGAGCTACATTTCAACTTCCTACGTTATTTCAAACAACTAAATTTAAATGAGGATGTCAAATTTGGCCTATTTTCACCAACTTTGGCTGTTTGTACAACCTGTTTCAAACGTGATAGAGACTTGCAACGAATGTGTAATTAATGCCTTCTCTAAACTAAAGTTATTTCCAACGATATATATTCTTAATGCTGTTAAATTCAATATTCTCGTCTGTGTAATTTGTTGTACTATTTGATCTCAGTTTTCCTCTTGAAATGTTTTCCCCTAAGTACCAATTATGGGAATCCTGGTGAAGCAACCAGGTTTGGGTATATATCACCAGTAACCTAAACATAGCTGTGATGATATTTTATACCTGTTTAAAGCTGTAAAGAAAATAATATTTTTGAAGTTTCATGAATTTGCTTCAGTTACATTTGTGTTGACCTTATCGCTTCCTTTATATTTCAGACTAAGTAGACTTCAGAATGGAATTGTGTTCCTTCCAAGTGTCCGGTCATTGCCACAAAAGAAGCTGCATATCATTCTTTCAGTGAAAATGAACGGGAAATTTTGAGTCCTAGCTTCGGAAACGCAAGAAATGTATTTAAAACCTTTGCTTTTTTCATAAACAAGTTTGATAAGTGCGATATAATATTCTCTAGGAGGGAATCACTGCTATGATCGCTTCAACAGCCACAGGAGGACGTGACAGGAGGTCGAGTTATCTTCTTGAACATCGCCAAAAAAATACATTTATCTTCGTCTGATTCCGGAAAAGAAACTTGGTGCAACATACTTCATGGAGATGTCCAAGTTTGTCCAAGCTCTTAGCAGAGACCATACATTTTTGGGGGCAAGCCATCGCCAAATAAACAACGGAAGAGTTTAAAAAATACGGACTTTTGACAAAATCTTCAACGAAGAAGAGTAAATCACTGCCTGACAAAAAAAAGTTAATCTGGTGCGTCAATTCTACCTAGAGGACGACATATTTAGAATTTTCGCGGGAACAAAAGGATGCAGTCTCAATCGTACATAGTGGAGAAAAGAAGCGAAAGCGTTTGCAGCGATGCCATATTGCTATGCAGAGCAAAAATTGGACATGTTCATAAAGCATGTTGCGCCAAGTTTCCAACCCGGAATCAGACGCAGAGAAATTTTTTTTTCGGTGATGCTCAAGGATATAACTCGACCTCCTTTCACCGTCCTCCTATGGCTGTTGAAGGGAACACAACAGTTTTTCGCTCCCTTGAGAAGAGTATATCACACTAACCAAACTTGTCCATGACGAACTCGTTCAAAAATTTCCTGTTCATTTTCACTGAAGGAATGATATATAGCTTATTTTGTGGCATACACATGACATTTGCAAAGAATTAAATTCCATTCTGAAGTCTGCTTAGTCCGAAATGTAAGGGAATTAAGGTCAGAACAATTGTACATGCAGCAAATCCATAAAACGTCAAATATTTTTCACAGCTTCACACAGGTATAAAATAGAATCACAGCTATTTATAGGTTACTGGTGATATATACCAAATCTGGTTGTTTCACCAAGATTCCCATATTTGGTACTTCCGAGAAAACGTTTCAAGAGGAAGACGGATGAGATCAATCGTTCAAAAAAGTACACATATCGAATATTGAATTCAACAGGATCATTGGAAAGAACTTAGAGAGGGCTTTAATTACACACTAGTTTCAAATTTGTATCTCGTTTGAAACAGGATGTACAAACGGCAAAATTTGGTGAAGATAGGCCAAATTGGACTTTCCACATTGAAATTTAAGTTGTTGGAAAGTTAGTTAAGTTGTTTGACGTGAGATGTGATCGCCACACGTCTGTGACGTGATCTTCACGTCACAGACGTGACGATTGAAAATTAAGAAAGTTGTTTAACGTAGGAAGTTAAACCTTAGTTTTTGAATTGAAATTGCCTTACTCTATAATGCTACAAAAGCTCGTTGTGCTACCATGCATCCCAGCGCTTAAAATGCCCATGCAAAATTCCACAATATTTGCAATTGTGGAATTTGTGCAACTCAGTTGGTAATGAACCCAGTAGAAAATGCATTTAATAATGTGATCCTGCATTGTCTCAGCTTTAGAGTCCAAATACGCTTTTCTAGCTGGACGGGAACTAAAGATAGCGCTTTTACCCCAAAGGTCATTTTTCCTCTTCGGGGCTAAATTTAGGGCTGCATATCTCGAAGACCGTTAGTCAGACATCGAACATTTTAAATATTTTCATTAGTCTTCAATGTCAACATGCACAATTTTTTTCAAGCAAATCGGAGTCTGAAGCGCAACCACCCCTTGACCGCTTCAGCTGGAATCCCTTAATTCCTAGATAGACATGTTTCAGGAGCTAATCAGGTAGAAGGAGACCAGAGTACTTCTGGGCAGTGGGTTCGAGGAGACACACTCAATTTTCCAGATCTCCACATGGCACGCGCCCTTACTCAGATTCTTCCATGATGAGTAGAGTATAACAATTATACCCGCGAGGTTGTCTTCCAGTACTGGACCGAGAGGATGGAGTAAGTACCCAATGTGAATTTTGATTCAGTAGAGGAAATAAAACTCTGAGGGTCTTTTATGTGGGATGATTGTAATCGGTAGGGTACTGCTAGTATCATACCACTTGGCGACCATCCATGGAGTCATCGAGTTCATATTCAATTTCATCCGATAATCAAAGCTTATTCAGACTCTGGAATAGGGAGGAGGCACTATAATGCCCGTACGGTGACAATTCAACGTTGACACAACGGTGCATAGCATCAACTTTTCTACGTTGAGCTGTGTTTCACATGAACATTGTGCAACATGTTATGTTGAAAAGTGAACCTTTTCTCAACATTGGGGCAACATTGCCATCAACCATATTTCAACGTTGACAAAACGTTGTTGTGCCGATTGGGTACGGTTGAGCTCATGAGCAATTACGGTTCCTAATCATGAAGATTTGCAATGTCATCGTGATATTAATCGATGAAATTACCAAGAGATTCATTCTATGATATTCATGGAGGACAGGTGCAAATGACGAAATCTTCCAGCGGCTGGCCAACGAGTTTGACTCAAAAGGGTTCTGCGATTGTCCTCCAGTAACCTGCTCGTAAGCTTCCTTCTGGATACAAACTGCATATGAAGAGAAAAACCATTGACATGGATAACTTTTTTTCAGAGAGGAGACGTATTCCTGGTCGTTCACCTCAGCGCAATTGAGTCGCGAGGAAGTATTACTCCTGCATCTCATCAACTGGATGGCAGAAGCAAAAAGAAAGAAGATGAATGACAGCGAGCTGAGAAACAGGACTTTCTGTCTCGATCCGAAGTCTGTCCAATCAATATCGAGCTTTAGTGAAAATATCAATAGTTCAATGATAAAAAATCACTGCATGATAGTCGCCTTTTTAGTTGACGGTTCGCTGATTGGGATATGAACTCTATTTCATGTTTCGAAGTTTGTGACTTTGAACTTTCTCAACAGAGAAAATCTTGCTGTGGTGAACGTCTACTATGAGACCTTTGCAGTGGAGAGAATCTCGGAACATCTTCAATATCCAGTGAGTGGAAATCATTCACGAGTCAATAGGTCGGGATTCCCCGAATATGTCATTATTCCATACGGAACACTTTTCATTGGTTAGTGGTCGAGCTTCATTGGGACGTTGGGAGGGATGCTAGGTCTGTACACCGGTCTGTCCTTCATCTCCATCTTAGAAGTGATGGAGTGGATACTCAACATATTCCTGTATGGCTGGAGGAAGCCTCGGCCTTAGGTGATGGTTCCATGGAAGTTTCATGGTTCAATTTTAAGAAGACTTTCTCTTCAAAAATAAAATCCAACACTAATGAAATATCATGTGAATATTTCATTTCGTACCATTAAGCATACTTCCAATGGGATTATTCATCACTTCTTTTGACCCGCTCACTCACTAATCTCAGGGATTAGACGCATAGTGAGTCTTTGAAAATTGGAATGGGATGTCAACTCCATTTTCCTTGTTGTGGTAAAGCTTGTATGCGAGTTTTACTTACATGAGGAGCCACGATCTTGCGCGATGGACACGAGAGACACTGCCCTGACGACTCCGGCCCCACCAACCTTTCCTTCGGATGAGATTACTCTCCAATTTAGATGCTGAGTGGGTTCCTGTATCGCTTGATCGTTCTCTCCCTGATCCACATCATCAGTTGGAAAAGTTTCCTGATTAATGGCTGCTTACTACCGCAGCCACCACTACGGACCACAATAAAAGTTATTATATATCGATAGATGATGATAACTGTCTTAAAATAAAATAAAATCACCAGGATAGTTTACGGTTTGCGTTAGAGATCCTTTCCCTTTTAACACACCTTGAGGTCCTCACTTTCCACTACCGAAAGAAAACGAGAGAAAAGACAATAGGCACCGTTAATTTGTTGGTTGAGGTGTTTTTTTCATTATACTTGAACTCCTAGCATCACTGTCGCCAGGGCATTCACGAGCAGGCTAATGCCGGGAATCCGATGCTTCAAAATAATAAATAATGCCTTGATTGCAAATTCATTTTGCTTGCGTCGTAAAGAATCAGAATCTCGTAACTGTTTCACCCGGTCTCGCACAGGATTACACATGGGTCTCACCATTTGTGAAGCAAATTTCGGGGTAAAGCTGCCCTAAGATCACTTACAAACTGCTAAAAGGAAAAGTACAAAATAAAAACAGAAAAGCAAATGCCCTTGAGGCAGAAGAGTACACCTTCCTACCATTTAATCTAATACTTTAATTCGAAGAGCCCGAAAGTTGTGGTGGTGGCTGTCACCCCAAGCCGCGAGGCTTACGAGATGTCATCCGAGACAAGGCCATCCACTGCTCAAAGCGCTAGATCCATAGGAATATGCCATCCTGGGACATGGGCTAAGCCGTCCACCGACCAAAACGCCACGTCCATTAGGCTATGCTATTCTAGGCCATAGCCTTGGCCATAGGGCTGTCAGTCTGAGTCATATGCAATGGCTCATTCTATTTTTTCTATAGGCTTCTTACACAGCTGTGTCAATCAAAGGGTGCTACTAACTGAATGCGTGTTACGTTTTCACTGATCGACTGCAAGTTCTTCATTTGAATACATTCTTAGCAGAAGTTGCTTTCCTGTATGTATTTTTATTTCGTTAGGTCAGGTGTGACGGTTTCCGTCATCGCTTCCATGCGATAGTTTTCTATTTAATTTTCACGTAATGGCCGATTTATTTGAGTTCTGACGATTGATGAAGTGAAAATAATCGGGTAAGGTGATTCTTTTGTCGCACAAACCGGCCGCTCACACCATCAACATGGTGGTGATTTTTGCGAGGTACGGTTAAACGTAACGAAAAAATGTTGAAAGAGGTCCCACAGGACAGCGATGAGGCAGTCGCTGGAGATAAAAATGATTGGTGCTGACGCGGAAACAACATTCGCCACTGCAGTTACAGTGCGAAGTGCATAAATCAGTGCTTTAGGAGGTGCTAGCCGTAATTGCTAGAATGGGTGATGAACAGCACGCAGCTGTACGTAAGGAGCTTAGGAGCGTTCAGGCCTATGAATAGCAAGAGGCAGCGAATGCTGAGCTCAGGAATAGCTTGCTGGGCAAATTGAGGCAAGGAACGCATCATTCAGTTGTCGAAAGCCGGGGGGGGGGGGGGGGGGGGGGGGGCGGGGAATTGTCCCCGGACCCCCNAAGGAACGCATCATTCAGTTGTCGAAAGCCGGGGGGGGGGGGGGGGGGGGAGCTGGGAATTGTCCCCGGACCTCCTGCTTGCCAGTCAGGCAACCATTGCTACATTGCATGTGCTACCATTACACCACGGAACCTGGGGCATTTTTCATGCCTCTTCCTTTCACCTCAATAATTACAGTCGTTTGTCACTGCGAACACTGGCAGGCTATACATTTTGCTGCAGGGGGGGGGCATTAGTTTCAAGTTGCCGCCACAACGGAAATGTGCTCCTGCTGCAACTCACTTTTCAGAGTCCCATAATTGTGTTGCTCATAGGTTCTAATGTGTCGACGAGACATTTTCAGGAGTTATTCCTTATTTTTGTGTCGCACATGCGCCAACTTTCTTCTGTGCTAAAGTCGAACAAGTTCTTGGAAATGGTCCGTACTGTTTCAGAATCAGTAGTATCTATACAATAAGCTAATGCTAACGGCCCCATAAACTAATCGGTGATGCAAGAATATTGAAAGTGCTTGAACAACGAAATCGGTAAAGTCGTCTTGAGTCTCATGAAAACGTGCTAAATCGAGGCGTTCACAATGTCGATTGTGGCAATGAGGTAGAATATCATGATTGTGTTAAGGAACAAAATCTCTCTTCGTACCGTAAGCTGTATGTGTATAAATCTTATGAAGCGGTACAGTTCCGAATGGGTAACGCGACGAACAGAGGATGTCAAGGAGACGTTATGCCCACAATAGACCATTCAAATGTCTGCCAATGAGACGGCCAGCGTAGCGGCCGCTAGTCACCTTCCAACTTTCTCTTGAACAGTTCCATAGGTGCACCACTCTAGGAATGCTCTGGAACAGTGGTGCCCAACCTTTTCGGCGATAGGGCCACATAGCTCACTCCCAAAGCGACTGAATTTCCATGGTATATAGTATCCTTCACAGATTAAGAGTGTCCGTCAGTCAATAAAATTTCGCCTCTACATTCAGAATCTGTGGGTTTGTTGTTAACCAGATCCGCAGGGTATGCATGATAAATGTGTTTCAATCAAGCCACGGCATAGATGTCGTAAATATGCGCGCAAGCTGAGTGGCGTCACACGGATGCACATAGTAGGGGCCGTCGGGTACGCTTTCGGCTCCCTTTCCCCAGTAGTGGAGGCAGGAGGACATTCCCTGTCTCTCTCCCTCTTCGTTGTTCTCGCGCACTCAATCTTCCTTTGCGCCGTGCTTGCCGACCCAGCTCTCTGTTCCCATTCCGTCTTATCTACGCGACGAAAGATATTCGATGCGTAGTCCATTATTTCTCATCCGTTGGCATTCCGTCGTAGTCGCTCTCAATTTCTCGATCTTTTCCCTCGCTGGCTACTTTTCCATTCGTTAGGGAAGAAATACTGCACGCGTCACGGCTATTAGAATGAGTCATGGGTAAAGGAAGTGGAAAAACCCGAGTGGTTTTTGGTTGCGAGGCTTCCCATCGAAACAGTAGAATAGAGAAGTCGGCTTTTAATGCTTTCCCACTTTCACTTGAAATAAGAGGAGAATGGATGAAAACTTTAGGAAACCACTCGGTACCAAAGACATGCTCGCGCCACTTCTTGAAGGATCGCTATCATGCAGGGTATCCTGACAAGTGAAAAGTTCCGAAAAATGGTGCATTCCCTTCGCTTTCCTTGGTATTCTATGCTTTACCTGCCTTAACTCTGCCCACCATCCTCTTAGCTCAACTAATACTGGAGTACCGAGTTACCTCGCAATTTTTCCTAATCGATGATACGAGTTCGCCCTTCACCACTTGAGCTCTCTAAATCTCCCACTTCTCGAGACGGAAGTACCTTTTGCGTAGGGGATTCCCTTTCTCCACGACGAGGCTTGCACTCGGAAAAAAAATCCTGATTTGGTTGGTTTCGATCTTGGGTCCCCTGTCATGGGAGCCAAGAAAGCTATCAACCGAGCCATACCCCAGCCCCCACTCCCATCTATGACGTCACAAGGATGCGCTTTCAATGCGCTTTCTCGACTCCCACGCAAGTTAATGAAGCGCCTATTTGCCGGTGCGTGGTACCAACGCATGTTTGGCCTTGCATATTGCTTAGAATGGCGCAGCGTCTCAGGCCGAACGCGCAAAGCCTATACGGTTACGCCATTCTAGGTAACTAGCGGTCTATGGCCGCAATTGCGGCCTTCTACCCGTACAAATACTTTTTTTGTCACAGCTCATGAACTAAGAATAGCCTCAGCCTGGTTCCCGCTGCCAAAATTTGATGTACTGTTCATGATGGAGCATATATGCACGAAAGATATGCTGAGGCACAGCGTGTTACATCTGCCACTATGCGAAAATTACAACCAAAATTAGTTCGGCATGAATAACGTAAATAAACATGGAAGGAACCATGAAATGTCAGGAAACAAATGGTAAAAACTTCTCGGCTTTGGGTATCCCCTCGATCCTGGGATTTCTCCCCGACGAGGAGGATCAAAGACGAGAAGTGGGGACACCAGTCAAATTTCCCCGACCGGAATGCAGAGCCGGCCAATCGGCATGAAAAAAAGGGATTATGATTTCGATTGCGTATTTCACGAGGTGGGAAATACCCATCGCCGAATTAGTTTTAGGCGGCGTCTTGCGCAACGGAAACCTCTTCCTTCGCCCTTTAATCAATCGGTCGGCAGTGTTGAGTTACCTGGCATTCCGTTGACAGGTTAATTGTTTCCTTTGCGTCGCTCTTCAAGTGCCCTCACCCAAGGTTGAGAGAATGCAGTCGACGCTCGACATGACGAACAAGAAAGGACGGGCTAAATTAAATTCTTCTGAGTTCATTATTGGGAATTTCCCTCATTTCACAAAGAAAAAGATATGTTAAAACCCAGATCAATATCTCTTCAAAATGTCACTTGGTGTAAATAGGCAAGTCATTGTCCATTCATAAAATAATTGCAAAAGCCTAAGCGCATGCAATATCACGAAAGTACATTACTGAAGAGTCGCATATTTACCTAAACTTGTAGGTAGCCCGTGCTAACGCACATGGCCATGGGAGGCAGTCGCCACACTCCCCCCTCCCCTCCCCCTGGCTA